AAATGTTTGTTTTCCGAACACACTATCCATTCTTGTTTTCTTACAGTTCTAACAGCCGCTGTGAGACCTAACACCTTAACGTCTTGGGCCTCAGACCAGGAAATTGATGTCACAATCACAAGATGGCTACATCTGGCTCCTGATCGGGATGGTGACAGGAAGGAAAGCATGAGAAGAAAAGAGTGCATGGAGAGCGCAACAATTTGATGGATAGAAAAATACCGTTCAAGAGGAAGCTGCATCCCAATTTGGACTTTGTGTTCACTGTTAAATAAAGAAAAGTGCATTTTTCCAGTGTATGTGGAGTTATATGTGAGGTTCGCAAAGTATGACAATAAACATATTTTTATAACAGTCGGCCGCTTTATTTAAATATTTATTCGTCTAGCAGTCATTCCCACAACAGTGTCATTAGCTTTCAGATACCCATCAAAAATGGCAAAACGGAAGGTGGACACTGAGAACCGGGGGTTTCAAACAAGGTGAGAGTCGAAGAACATGTTCATCATGGACGTAGCTGGAAAACCTGTGTGTCTTCAGATCCGGGCCGAATGCGGCCCGGATCATGGATGCCAGACCCGGGCCACTGCAGGACCGTCATTCATTGCGGTATGTGGGCCGAGTGTCGTGCCGTGTCCGCGCCGGAGCCGGGCCAGACCAATTTTGCTGACTGGGCAGCCTGCCATGCATGTTTTTGGAATGTGGGAGGAAACCGGAGTTAGCAAAATACTCCTGTAGCTCTTTGTACACATTTCCTAAGATTTAATAATCACCGTTGATGATGGTTATGATGCAGTTTACTAAAGATGTTGAGTTTTTGTTATTTTGGTCAATAATAATTGATTGTGAACTGCTCCAAGTGTTGCATACAGCACAGTTGTGTGTTGTTACAATGCATTTTGGGATTAATATTTTAAAAAACACATTCAGTTGATTACTGTAGTTTGCCGCTTCCTTAGTGTAATGATGTTCCCATACCAAAGGGGACAGTAATGCACCAGAACGGCTCGACTCCGTCCTTTCTGCAGGAAATAGAAAGTAGGCCACTCAGGAAATGCAGGAAGCGAGACGGCGAAATGAAGTCCGTAATATTGCCATGGACATTGCGTCAACTGTACATTTAGGTCGTGTACCGATTAAACATAACCGACTCTTCGTGTCGCTAAAGCTTCACCTGCTAGCTCAGCCCGCTCGCTGCTCACAAAGAGACGCGGAAGTTAGCCTCATATACCCAAGCGGAGATCCAGTGTGTGCCTCCCGTGTTGGGATTGATTGAGTGATTACTGTCAGTCTGTTTGGAAAGAATGATAGCGGAGTACGAGGAGGAAATTTGTCGATCAAGAGAAGAAAACGAGCGGCAACGTCAATTACTGGACGCTCTTTTAAAGCATCAAGATGAAAAGCACAGAGCAGGTTTGTTCATCTCGTTCTCTCACAGTTGTTTTAATTTTCAACCCTTCTGGGTCCAGGGATTTCTTACAAGAGAGATTTCGCCCTCCCTCACTCAGAAAAGAAAAGACCTCCTAATAACCATAGCGCCAATTATCGTATGACAGATTTTTAATCCACGTGCAGCACTTTGTATGCAGCAAGGGTTGTTGTGAAGTGCTTTATAAATTAAGTTGAGTCGAATTGAGTAGTCATGCATGGCTACAATGTGTCCACAAATGCCATGGAGATGAAAAGCTGACGAAATGTTATGAAAACAAAACAACTTTTTGGGAGAAAAAAGTGGTGACGTTTGTGCAAATACTTGTTTAATCAGAATACGATGTCAGTTTTTTGGCTCTCAAAATAATTGCAATAATATTGTCGTATCTTTTAAAAAAGTGCATACTAACTCATTACGCTTCACGATCATAATATTTTAACTCGTCATAGCAGAATTTGATTTTTCCAAACCACATGCATTGTCTTCAGAGTCCCCTTACATTAAAGAAGAAGAACACGAACACAGCATCGGTCAGGAAGAAGAGCAGTTTCGAGAGCTGGAGGACGGTGATGTCACCAAGCAGCCCTTTAACTGTGTCATTGTGAAGAGTGAAGATGACGACGGGGATGGAGACCACTGTGGAGGATCACAAGCAGACAACTTCTTAACTCCACTATCAAACAGTGACAACACGTCACCCTCTCCTGACACGGATGATGACGAACACTGTAAAGGTGATGCGACAAGTCACAGTGACTGCAAGGGTTTGGCATGCCTTCAATGTGACAAAACGTTTAGCAACAATGCAAATCTGAGAAGACACATGATGATTCACACGGGAGAAAAACCTTTCATGTGTTCAGTTTGTGGGAAAAGATTCTCTCAGAAGACTTCGATGATAACACACACAAGAACACACACTGGGGAGAAACCTTTCGCCTGCTCGGTCTGCAACAGACGTTTTTCAATTCACAAGACTTTGGTTCAACACATGAGAACGCACACTGGGGAGAAACCGTTCATTTGTGCCGTTTGTGGTCAAAGTTTCTCTCAAAGCGGCGCTTTACAAAGACATGTAAGATCACACACTGGTGAGAAACCGTTCAGTTGCAGTGTGTGTGAGAAAAGATTTAATGATAAATATAAGGTGAAGAAGCACAAGTGTGCTGGAGAGAAGAGTGGCAGCACACGAAAAGCAGGAAAGTGTGACTTTGGGAAAAGCTCAGAAAACTGAAGTGGTTGTGGAAGGTGAAAACTTGTATATGTGATCCCAAAATTGCTCTCAAGTACCAGTCAAACCTGATGTTCAAAAGCATTTGGACTTCAAGTTTCTATGATGCATTTATACATCACCACAATGGATTTAAAATAAAACAATCAAGATGTGATTAAAGTGATGTTCTGCATTTCCGCTTGAAAAGTTTCACTGTGAAGACTGGAAATACTGATACGCTGTATGACACGTTGGCCATTTTAGGCATATTACAGTACATCAATTTGTAGGTACTCTACAGTATTGAGCAAAGTTGTCCTATTTAATACTGTGGGCCCTTGACTTGCAAATGTAATTCATGCTGTCACCCAGCTCGTAAATACATTCATTCACAAATAAATGTGTTCGATTTTCCCCTTTACAATAAATTAAGATGTCACGATCCATTGCTGCCACATTTTTGAAGGTGGTTTTAGTAACGAAGAATAGTGCTGTATTGTGAAATCTAAATATTAACAAAACGAGTATAAAAGACATCGTGAAGAATTGAACTGGTTTTAGAACACGCAATTAAGGTGAAGGTCTCTCTCACCCAACACACACACGCACGCACGCACACACACAACAATATTTGTGTTTCCAGCTTGTATTGGCCGTTTACCACACAGTTATTTCAGTGTAAACCTCTGCTCAAAGCAGTTCAGATAATGGATGAATGGATGATCCAGTATTGAGTTACAGCCAGCAAGAACTTCTCTCCTGCCCGAAATTCTACACCTATTCACTACACTTCATATGTTTCATTTGGCTCCCCTCAGTACGGGTATGCAAATGTTATGGTTTTTTGGGGGGCCGAATAAGATTTCAGCCTCTGTTGGCTGTCGCATCACTGTAATCTGCCTTCACCTCTGTTGCACTGGTGCTGGCTCATGTAATCAAAACTATGTTAACAAATTGGACTGTTTCTTTAACCAGTCAGATTTTATATTTGCCTCAGAAGTCCCACAACAATGTTAGCATTTTCCATCCTCTGACTGGTTGGTCAGAGCATGCCAAGTTCAACTAGCAAAATACATCCATCCGTCCATCCATTTTCTGATCCGCTTTATCCTCACAAGGGTGGCGGGGCGTGCTGGAGCCTATACCAGCTGTCTTCGGGCAGTAGGCAGGGGACACCCTGAACCAGTTACCAGCCAATCGCAGGGCACATACAGACGAAAAACCTCCCGTGCTAAAA